TTTTTTAACTTTTTAAGGTTTATTTATTTTTGAGAGAAAGAGACAGTGTGTGAGATGGGCAGAGAGAAAGGGAGACACAGAATCCGAAGCAGGGTCTAGGCTTTGAGCTGTCAGCGCAGAGCCTGACATGGTGCTCCAACTCATGAACTACAAGATCATGTCCTGAGCCAGAGTCGGGACACTTAAACCAACTGAGCCACCCAGGCGCCCCTGACCTCATACTTTTAGTGAGTCCTGGGGAAGTGACTTAACATCGTCGTGCCTCAATTTCGTCATCCGTTCTATAATAGGTGGCTTGTTTGAGGAGTGAGTTGATCTGTGTAAAGGATTTAGAACAGTGCCTGGCCCATCGCAAAACCAGAAGGAATGTCAACATTTATTTTTATTGCTCTTCTCTGTCTAGGCTATGGAACGTGCAGGGTCTCCAGGGTCATGGCAGGTCAGGCTTTGCGTAGACAGATTCCAGATTTGGGGCTGGGATGGCTCTTGGTAGCTGACTGACCACAGACCGCACTCTGAACTGTTCTGTGAAGGCCACTGTAGCCGTCACAGGAGACAGAAGCTACTCTCCGGGAAGGGATGGGGGGTTGGCGGTAGTTTGGAACATAAAGAGTGTGCAGATGTATTTACATTGACCGATGGGATGAACTTCAGGGCATTGGAGGAGTTCTAGGGAAGTGTCGATTTAACATATTTTTTTGAACCCCACTGTGGCCAGACAGTCCTGGCTCCGGGGCTAAACGTTGGCCAGGACAAGGGTCTCAGCCCTCACGCAGGGGACGTTCTAGGAAAGGGGACAGAAAATAGGTAGGCGGAGCACGTAGTGTGAATGTCAGGTGCTGCTGAGCTGTGTGCACTTCAGGGTCCGTCTCCCGCCATCCACTTACATCACTGGGGCCGCACACCCACCTGACTTACGGCATCTTTGTTGGCAGATGACCTCATCCCACCGTTGGACTTGCTCGAGATGATTGTCAGCTGGATTTTTGAGGACCCGAGGTTGATTCTCATCACTTTTTTAAATACCCCGATTGCCGCCAATCTCCCAATAGGATTTTTAGAGCTCACGCCGCTCACTGGATTGATCCGCTGGTGTGTGAAGGCCCCTCTGGCTTATAAACGGAAGAAGAAGCCCTCCTTGTCCAACGGGCACGTCGCCACCAAAGTTACAAAGGACTCGGGAGGGATGGACAGAGACCCCCACCTCCTGTACTCGAAACTCCACCTCAACGTCCTCCAGGTCCTCATGATGCTGCAGGTGCACTTAACCGAGAAGAATCTTTATGGGCGCCTGGGGCTCGTCCTGTTTGACCACATGGTCCCACTGGTGGAGGAGATCAACAGGTTGGCGGATGAACTGAACCCCCTAAACGCCTCCCAGGAGATCGAGCTCTCTCTGGACCGGCTGGCGCAGGCCCTGCAGGTGGCCATGGCCTCTGGAGCCCTGCTGTGCACGAGAGGTGAGGACTCCCTCGCCCGGGCCCTCCTGGAAGGAAAATAGGGACTCCTGGACCAGTGCTGCCCTTCACAGCTTCTCTCCTCGTAGCGTGAGGGACGAGGGCAAAGTTGCACAGCTTCCCCAGGTAGAACACTGACTGTGATGTCTGAGTGTCTCCTGGCCGCTTTGCCCAGGAGCAGGGACCCTTTGGGAGTGAGGAGGATCCCTCACTGTCTCTCCTCACAGAGAACCCTTTCTTTTCCTGCGTCCTTTTTTTATTGAGGCACACGTTACCTACCACGGTGCACAGGTTCAAGTGCGCAAAACATTCCCTTCACCTGCATCCAGGTCCCTGATTCTCCACTGCGGTGCTGGCCTCTCCCAGTGGCTCGTAGAACTTGTGCTTGCTTAGTGACTGTGGGCTTACAGAAGTGGCCTGTGGCCCCAGCTGGCGCTCACGTGATATGTTTCCCACTCGGCACTCTTGGGACACCTGGGCCATCTGCTCTGCTTGGTGAGAGCCTTACCACTGGAGCCTTTCCTAGCCACCTGCTGGATGGCCAGTAGACCTGCCCCTTCTCCTGAGGCATGTACTCTTTTGGGGGCCTCATTGTTAAAGCAAGAATTGAAGGAAGAGAGAACGCAGGGTTTTTTTGTTTTGTTTTGTTTTTTTAAGTTTGTTTTGAGAGAGAGAGAGACCACATGAGTTGGGGAGGGGCAGAGAGAGTGGAGAGAGAGAGAATCCCAAGTAGGTTCTGTGCTGCCAGCGCAGAGCCTGATGTAGGGCTCAAGCCCACGAGGCTGGGAGATTGACCTGAGCTGAAACCATGAGTTGGCCACTTAATCAACTGAGCCGCTCAGGCGCCTCGAGAGACTGCAGTTTCTGAGTGGTGATGGGACAAGGCAGTACAGGCACTATTGCTATCTTACCGGTGTCCTTGAAAAGAACTCAGTGAACATTTCACCTTGTTGTCTCCAGTCTGTTCTTGATCATGCGTCTCCTTGATTTCAGATGACCTGAGAACCCTGTGCTCCAGGCTGCCCCATAATAAGTAAGTGCCCTCTCGAATAATTCTAGCTGGGCGGGGGTGGGCTGGACATCTTGTCCTGGCTTCCTGGACAGGACAGCCAGCTTCCTGGCTTCCGTGTGTAGGGAGCTGCCAAAGGACCCGATGATAAGTGGGGGGTGAGATAGCATGACCCACGTGAGAGAGCAACTCGAGGAGATGCGGTCACCTTGCCTGGGAGTCCAGGAAAGAAACCTGAGCCAGTTCGGAGCCATTTACCGCTTGCTTAAATTAGCGCACGTGTTTTGTGGTGACTCCCGGCGTCCATGCGCGTGTTGTTGGTGGTATTGTGGGTTGCGCAGCCCTCTGGGAAACACTTCAGAGCCCTGGCCTAGGGCACAGCGTGGCAGTTAGGCCTTGTCGATGGATGGCACTGACTGGGTTCTGAGCATGGGTCTAACTGGTTTTCTGTACTGCTCGGGCAATCCCTTCACCTGTTTCTGAGCCTCCGTTTCCTCCTCTGTAAAGTTGGCCGGGGGAGGGGGCGGGTAATTCGCCTGTGCCCTGGGTTGGAGGAAGGATCAAATGTGTTGGTGCTTGTAAACTTCCAGGCCGAGTCCCTGGCTCGTGGGAATCTGCCCGTAAATGGTGGCTATTGTCACGGTTTGGGGGTAGTGGTGATGACAGAGGTGAGGAGCGGGAGCTGTGTGGTCACAGCTTCTGGGGGAGAGTCCAGGCCGCTGCTTGCCGTCTGAATGACCTTCGGCAAGTTCCTTATCTCCCACTGCCTTGTTTTGATGTAAAATCAAAAAAAATAACAGTACCTGCCTCTTGTCTGCTCCCCTCACCTCTCCTGCCCCGCCCCTGAGGTAGGATTTTTGCGAAGATTAGAGTAAAAACTCAGTGCCTGGACCAGGCCTTGGTGTGTACCAAGTATCTAAGAAGTATTAGCTGCTGTTGCTCTTACTGTTATACTCAAAACTTAGGCATGTCGCTTGATGTGATTAGTTTCATTGACTCTAAGAAGCAGAAGCCAAGGGTGCAAAAATGTCTCATGCAAATACAGCATCACTAGTAGCAAAAAGTTGGAAGCAACCTAACAGTCCCAAAGCATGGGAATCCCTAGTAAATCAGTAGTGATACATCAGAAGGGCAGAAATTATGTATCCACTGAAAAGAGTAATTGTGGCGTCCTGATGAGGAAATGTTACAGTTGAAGGCAGAACTCCGGCCACCAGGGTAGTGTGCACAGGGACAGAAAACAGTCAGTGAAGCCGGTAGGATTACTAACACTCTTCTTTCTTTAGACCGTCAGGGGCCGGGGCTCCAGGGCTGGCGTTGGCAGGCAGTGTGGATGGAGGGTGCGCGAGCCCGCCGCGTGTGCTCACGGCTGCCCAGGGCCTGGCCCGCCATCGCCGCCAGGGCCGGTGCGCCTGGGCACATGTGGCAGACCAGTAACCGGGATCGGCCAAAGGCCAGCTTGTGGGCTCATGGCGAGAGTGGTTGCAGCCTAAGGTCTGCGTCCCCGTGTGTGGTTGGGGACTCCGTGTCAGACCCTGCAGCGAGGGGCGGCTTCCGTCAGGTGTCTGGGTAGATCCGAAAACCGAGTATAACTGAGTATCGTATTGGTGGAGTGCGATGGCTCCTGGTGAAGTAGAACGGTCCTGCTTGAGATACTCTGTCAACAGCATAGACAGCTGTCCAGAGGGCCACCTTTCCCTCAAGAGCCCATACTGTTCCTTTCTTGCCCCCACCCCCACCCCTGGGTGTAGGAAAGTTCCCTGGCATCTGAAGACGTTGTTTGTATAAATAGGTATCTTTCTGCCCCTCTTCCAATAATCCCGTTGTAGTATTTCTCTTCTTTGTGCACAGCTCTTATTTCATATCTAATGTTTTTAGGGCATTAAAATGATGACAGGGTTTAAATCCTTTGTCACCTCAGCGTTATCGCTAGAGGTCCCCATTGGAACCCCGGTGGAACTTAACAGCCGGCGCTAGGCCCTGCCCTCCTGGCACATACCGGACGGGCAGCCTGGCACCGATGCACGCAGAGGACTTGTAGTCACTTGGAAACTTTCTTTGACTTGTGATAGTCTTTTTTCTGTTGTCTTTCTGAATAGACTGGAAACTTCTTGAAACCCATTTTATCTCTGGCACAGTATGAGGTTCAAACGAATGTATGACCTAAATTTTGCCTCTGTAACACCCTCCTTAGATTTATTTGTTTGCTTATTTTGATTGAATTCCTCACCCCGAGTTATAAAAAAAATAGTAACATAAATGAAAAGGGGCTCAGAAGAGCTTCAGGCCAGGCACCAGCTTTTTTCCTGACCTCGGCTTACTTTCTGAGCTCCTCCCGTGGGCTCTGGGCACCAGACTTTATACCGGGGGGTGGGGGGTGGACAGGGGGAGCGGCAGTGACAGTCAGTCTGCAGACAACTTAGCCCCCACCTGTCAGAGCTCCAGGTAGCTGGCTGACAGTAGCTAGGGCAGGGTGGCCTGGGGTTGCTCCTGGACCCAGCAGGGCAGTGTGAGGGAGAGACAAGGAAGTCCTGAGTGTGAATGGTTGATGATGTGGAGAGGCCGGTGTAGACACTGCAGACACAGAACCCAGTTGAGGCACGGCCTTGGGGTGTAGCTAGGAAAGAGAGAGCAGGGCCAGTCTGTCCCACGCAGAGGCCAGGGGAGAGAGGGGAGAGGCCAGGCTGGGGAAGGAGGCCTCCGTCCTGAAGAGGAGAGGGCCAGAGAAGCTTCTCTGATTCCGGCGTTAACTGGGTGGGTGATTGGGTATTTGGTGCTAACTGCAGGGGGTGGGCGGGCTAAGGCCTGGAAGCTCCTGATGTGGGAAAGTTAGCAATCTTTGCTGGTCTCTCTGGGAGGGAATGTGGGGCTGGCGAAGATAGGACTGATCAGAGGGAACTCTTCAGGGAGATCCAGAAGGGACCAACACTGGAAACTGAAGGGGATTCCAGGAGGGAGACCCAGGCCATGGATGTCCCGAACCACAGAGAGGAGAGCACAGGGCAGAGAAGGTGCGGGGCACCTGGGACTTGGGGCGGTGGTGGGCGGGAGGGTGTTGGGGAAGGAGTGATGGGGTATGAAGAGTAGGGCTGGAGTGTGGCTGTCACCCTGGAGTGAAGGAGCAAATGAGCAGGAGGGTTGGAGCCTCCTGGTGGGGGTGGGGGAGGTGGCCCCTGAAGGTGGGAAAGGGCTGGGTCCCGGCCTGGGCCATCCCAGGGGCGGGGCCATCGT